GGACAGGGAAAATTTCAATTATTAGGTCTTGCAGAAGAGCCAAAAAATGCAGCCAAAAGCAGCAAGAGCAGATCAAGATTCATATGTTGATTATACACAAAGGAGTTAAACATCTAGTACTTCAACCACAAACATAATAGCAATTGTCACAGGCACAAAAACAAGAAAGCAGGAAAGAAACAAGCACAGATGCAATTTATAATCAATTGCACTTGAATAATTTACTGCAAGTAAATCACACATGGAAAGAAAACCATTTCATGATAACAAATGTAGACCACCCAATATAGAGAACGAGAGAACATTTAGGTGTTCAATGAACTGCATGACAACATAAGTAACAAAGTTAAATATACACATCTCCAGGCTTTTCGTGTTTCAATGAAGCGCTATTGTAGAATTGGGCTTTTCACTAGACACAATGCTGCAGAACCTTTTGGTCATAAACAAAAACTGGAACCATTAAAATTGTCATGTAGGCACAAAGAACTAACCATAAACAAAGACTGTGAATCAGAACCTGTAGGCCTCTGAATTAAGGGGTTTTGTAGTTTCCCATTAGAATGTAATCTTTGAATAGGTCAGCTAACAAGCTCACCTGGCACTGATTGGGTCGGAGACTCAGACCTACTCCCAACGATATGTCCAATTAAAACATGCTTTCCATCTCCAATAAATGCATATATCTATCTTTTCATGTGATATTATCTACATGCACGGATCATAAAAGAAGAAAAATTCATTTCTTTCCAATTTTAAAACTACTTGGTAACAAACCCATCCAAAAACCAATAAACAACCAACAAAATACAAACACATTTCGCATATTTCACAATTTTCCAGATTCTAAAGTCCACACATTGTCTAAATTCAACACAAAATCCCGTCAAAGCAACTTGTCAAACTCAGCTTTGACCTCCTAGTACTGAAACCAGCTCCAGCACACTATTCATCCACAAATCTCAATAAACAATAAAATAAGCACAACAATACAATAAACACTGCCGGAAATTCCATAAAACGACTCAAAATCACATAATTCACACAATCACACGAGTATCCCAAACGAAGCACAAATTTAACGCGCACCATGGAACAATTATCACAGATCTGACAACAAAACCATTTAGCAACACAATTTACTCATACTAAAACGTGTAAATACGCATCCCTCAACGCAAAGAAAAGCAATGGAATATCAAAGACTTTACCCGGCGGAGAATTATTAGGGTTTTTGGTGAAAAACGGAGGGAGGGAGGCTTCAGGGGAGGTGAAAAATGAATGAATTTTGTTTGGGAAGCCTCTCTGGCTTTGTTATGTTAGTTGGAGCAGGGTACGAAAAATAAAACTATATTTTAACACAATTTTATATTTCGCTTCGATTTGTTCACTTCTTCACGCACGCTAATTGGAGATGTGAGCTAGGAGGGAAGTCACGCGCGGTGGTAGGAGCGTGGGCAAGAATGATTCAGTTGAAAAGTGAAGCAGTTGCTGTTAAAGTACCAAGAGCACCTGGCAATGTTGTGACTTGCCCGTGAGTGGCACGTACCTATTTGGCACGTGAAGATAAGGTAATACATTTAGCTGAATTCATCGTATGCACTTTTACGTTTTTTTTTTAATTAATTCTTGGGCTTGTTTAGTAACTCAGCTTGATGCTGAAAATTATTCAGCAGAACATTTTTGAATCTTCAGAATTTTAAGTAAATATATATTTATTCAATAGAACATTTTGAACCTTCTGAATTTTAAATAAATACGTGAATCTGTTAAATTGAGTATACATACTATACCTCTTTTATGCACGTAACACACTACTGATATTATACTGTTAAGCACGTTTATTTTCTTTATGTTCGACGCACATGAGCACGCATGCCTACACGCTCTCTTACACACAAATACACAACTTAAACACCACCTCTAAATTATTTAATTCTCTTGTCTCTCTCACACACACATTTTTCTATTTATCCAAATACATAATTAATGACATTTTTTAAAAATATATATATACACACAATATTTTGTGTTATATTTCAATTTAGTATTATCATTCAGTTGATTATCACACAAATATAATTTAAACAATTCAATAAATTAATAATTCAGCACTTAATTTTTAGAATTTAAGATTCGGACTTGAGTTTTATCAAACAGATTCTGATTTATTTATATTTATTATTGATGTCACACGGAGTCTAAACTTTTCATTCAACCAGAAAGTCGGGGGACGATAATGAACATAAATTAGTAGTGGTTTGAAACATGTGTTTTGTTTTTGGCGTAAATTCCCGCTGTCTAGTAATTTTGAGCCTTGACTATTCCGGAATCGAGCGTGGTCACTCTCCTTAAGTTCTTCGTGCGCCGTACGTGTTCAATAGCTGTTCAAATTTCCCAATAATTAGTTGCCCCCACTCATCCGTTCATGACAGTTCTACAGAGAGGACCAGGGCTGCATGTAATTTTAGAATCATGGTCCCTTCCAACTCCAAACCAATGGAACTTTTAGCGATAGCTATAAAAAAATGGTTCTTTCTTTTCTTATTATTTCTCTGTTTTATTGAGGGTGGGGGCCTGCCGGAAGAGAAGGCAGGATTGGCTGAGAATTACAATAGTGCCAGCTGGCAGAAGAGACGCAGTGGCAGGCAGCCTATGAACCTTTGGCAAGTTTCTCAAAGGCCGTTTTAGTGAGGACATGAGAACTGTTGCGGTCCACAGTAGGAGTCATCAGTCATCGAATCACATTTTATCTTTTAAGGTAGCCAGCATTCTTAAATGCGTTTTCTTGATTTTGTTTGGATTGAAATGATTTCAGAAAAAATAATTTTTTTTATAAATTTTAATAATTTTTTTATTTTTTTAATTATTTTTTTATTTCACATACATCACATCACAAAAAGTATTACAGTAATTATTTCAAATAAATCATCCAAATAAACTTCTCTCCGTATTTCCAATCACCTTTAGATGGACTGGACTCCGAGGTCTCAGCTGACATGCAGCAGGTGCATTGGGGATTTGAAGCTTTCTACAATTTGCAATGGGTATCAAAACAGAAGTAGACATTGTCTGACAATGAGTGTAAACATTTTATTAAGTCGGCAGTATTTGGTCCATGAATTCTAATCGAGCCTATCTAGTCCATGAATTACTACCTAGCAGTGCAATTCATCTGCCAATTGCAAGAAACCTCAATCCTTGGGGAGTGAGCGTGTACTGCGAACGCCTTCCTTTTGTCTCATTTTTGGTTGGATTCCAGTTTTAATATCGTAACCGATAAAACATGCACAACACGCGACCCAGTGCATGTTTTTCCGTTTCACATTTTTCGCGCAGTGGTGTACGAGGGGGGAAAAAAAAAGGAGAGAGAGAGAAAGAGTTTATAATGCGCTGGTGATTGGGACGGTTTGGCGTCGATGTAACACAAATTTTCACATTATATATAAGTATTGCGGACAATTTACTGCTCAAATGGTGGCTAAGAAAAAAAGGGAGGAAAGAAAAGACGCCGACTTGGCGTGGAACTCGTCTTCCTTGCATGTTCAAACATCCACGCGTCTGCGCAATTTCTCAATCTTGTGATAAGTATCTTTGAACGAAGTTGCCATGTGTTAAAATGAAGTCGGGAGTTGGAAACGATCATGGCACACTTTTCGTGTACTTTCTTTTTTGGAGAGCCAAATGGTGGGGAAGATTAATCCCACCCAATTGGCCAACTGTTTTTTGGCATATTTTAGTATATCACTTAAAGTTGAGATGTTGCGGGCTGATTGGCTCCTTATTGCCGCCATAAATTGACCTCTCCACTTGGTGTACTTACAAGTAAACGACTAGTCAGCCATACAAAGGATTGATTAACAAGGGGCGGTGGAGAATCGATTCCGCGGCGCTTTGGATTGGATACACTCAAAGACCGTTTGAGGATCAAGTTCCGAACAAATCGCAGCAAAAGAGAACGGGAGAGCACTGAGCCGAAATGTAGCCTTTTTTTTATTCCTCCTCTTTTTTCTTTTTTTTTTCGGTAATGGTCGTAAAAGGTATGATTCACGAATTCTGCAATCACATGGACGTACGTAGTGGGTGCAGCTATTAAATATCATCATTTGACTTGGGCATTCACGTCAACAAATGGAACCTGTCATTAATTTCCGTGAATATTAAGTACTTCCATTGCTTTTCTGGTACAGTTTCTGCTAATCATCATATTTGGACAATTTTACTTGAAGAATGAGTTAGCGAACCACATGACATGAATGAGTTCAATTTTTGGGGGGGGGGGGGGGGAAGAAAGGGTACTTCCATTTACTATTTTCTTTTCTGCTTTCGTAGAAACAAACAAGCACGTTGACATGCTCGAGACAACCATGTACCGTGCATCCTCCCCATTTAAGTTTTAGCCTTCAAAAAAATTTTGAAGATAAGTAACTAAACTGATTCATCCCAACAAGTAACTCATTGATCTCATTGATAGTAGAATTTGTTTGTTCTAATTTGCTACTTAGCTTTCAATTTTGAGATAACGTGTTGGCAAACCATTAGCGACGCGTTTGGATAGACATTATTTACATAAAAAAATTATTTACTTGCATTACAAATATATTTTTAACGCTCCATTTTTTTTTATTTCGTATGCTCCATTGCATCACAAAAGGTGATAAACAAAACACCCATCCAAACAAACCAGCAAGCAAAGCAAATTTCAATGCCGAAATTCATGTGGGCCTGTTTGGAACCTGAGTTTTTTGGGAGTTTATCTAAAACTTTACTGTAGTGCACTCTAGAAGTTTTTGAAAAAATTTTGTAGAAGTTTTTGTAAGGTGAAAATTTTTTTTGTAGAAGTTTTTGTAAAGTGAAAAAACTTTTTTTCCTTTCCTTTTTTTTTCTTTCTTTTTCTTTTTCTCTTTCTTTTTTCTTTGTCTTTCTTTACTTTTTCTTTTCTTTCTCTCTTCTTCTTCTTCTACGCAGCACCAACGCAACGCAGCAGCTTGCTCCACCCCCTACTCCGCCACCGGCCCCACCTCCAAACCTCCGCCAAGGCCTTCTCCAGCCTCTCCTTCCACGCCTCCACCTCCGACACCACCGCCAATGCCTCCACCAGTCATTCCTCCTACTTTCCCGCCTGCTCCACCACCAGCCCCACCTCCTGCACTACCACCTTTTCTTCCACCAGCACCTCCTCCAATGCCACCTCTCGCCACCCCTCTCCTCTCTTTCCCCTTCTCCTCCCCTTTGCCCTTTCTCTTCCCTCTTCCCTCGCCCGGCAGTCAAGGCACACCTCCTCCACGAGCCAGTCAAATTTTTTTTTTTTTTGCAATTTTCAGCCTTCCCCTCTCCTCCCCTTCCCCACAATCTGGTGCGTGGAAAAATCCCCCTCTCCGGTGCTATCTAGCCTCGCTACCAGATCGCCCAGAGGGGAAGGGGAAGGGTGATGGGGGAGGAGTGGGGGACGGGAATTTTTTTTTTAAAAAAAAGGGTCATACAAACTGGGTAAAGGGAGAGGATGGTAGGGGAAGATGTCGGGGAAAGGGAGAAAGGCCAAAAAAAAAAAAAGGGAAACGTCACCGGCGCCGGACGTGATGGTCGGCGATGGAGATGGTGATGGGTTGGGATGGGGGAGGAAAAAGGAAAAAAAAAAAAGGAAGGGAATTTTTTTTTTGTGTTTTGGATATTTTGAAGTGTGTAGGTAAAAAATTTTGAGAAGTTTTTTGGGATCCTGTAGCAAAAGTTGTTAAAAAATTAATAGGTAAAAAACTTGCTTAAAAACCTGGCTTCCAAACTGGCCCTGTATCTTGAAATGGAATTGGACCTACTGAAAGCTGCCGAATCGGCCATCCCATCATTTGGTACTACTCCCCCCCAATAGACATAAACTGATAAACATCATTCATTGTTTTGTCAGCATGGATAAGCACACTCAATGGGAGTTGTTTCACACACTTGCCAGGCCAGCCCTGAGTCCCACTTTGCTCCGGCCCCCCCCCCTCCCCCAACGGTCCTCCACGTCCTAGTCGAACTGATGCGTGCAAGGACAAGCAAGTCTGTTTCCACTCCCGAACAAAGAAGTGGTACTCCAGTGCAGCGTGAGAATTATTTTTAACATTTCTTCCCGGTACAGAAACTGAAGGAAAAAATGTCGAATCCCGCCCATATTTTCCATCCATTGGTGCAATCTATATATTGGCACTTCGCAGCAGTGAGAGAAGGGCTTCAACTTTTAGCTTCGCTTGGAAGGAGATATTAATTTGGGCAAAGATTTGCATAGATTCGCTCCACCGGCAACAAAGTGGCCACGTCGCTCACTTTCTAATTTTGCGGCCAAAAAACCTAACGAGTTCTAAATTTTTCTGGCTGCTTCGTTTTTTAGAGAGAGAAGGCCAAGGACTTTGAGGGATTTGGGGCAGGACGGTCATCAGGCAAATCGTTCCTGTGCAGTTCACGGTCAAAATTTGGTCAAAAAAATTGCACAATCCAAATCTTCTACAGTTCAGATCTCATCTTATACTTCATTTTTAATAATATGTGTAAAATTCATAAAAATTTTGTTCTAAAATTACACGTTATTGAAAGTAAGTTACACAATGTATAAACATAATTATTCTGTGTGCAAATTGCACATAACCTTCAAGAACGGTTGGAGGTTGCACCTGCAACCGTTCCTGCCCTGGTTCGACTTTGAGAAACAACAAAGCTACAAAAAGGAGATACACTCGAGGACGACCAGTTGGATTGAAGCCAAAATAACTCCTCCGCCACCACCAAGTCTAGATTTAATGTCCCTCACTTTTTAGTTTTTATCTCTTTTTCTTTCACGGCGTCTTTCACATTCGACACCAATTTCATCATTGGCTCTGCACATTAATTGGCAAAGAATAGTAGAAATTCGACTGGAAAAAGTTATCAGCAGGCTTTGAAGAAACACGATGACTTTTGCGCTTCCAATGCAAAAGTTCTTCTTCTTCTTCTTCTTCTTATGCGCTTCCAACGCAAGTCCTTGCCAGTACAAGAAACCCGTGTTACCACATTACTACTCTCGAACGCACATGGCTACAAAGGACTGGACGGGGATGTTGCTGTTGGGTACCGTCGGTAGGTGCCACCAGGAAGCAATTGGGATCAAGCAGCATTTGTTGCTCAAGTTTCTTAATTAAACTGCATATCTCCAGAGATCTAAACTCCATTTTGTCGTCCCAGATTTCAATTTTGGATGTTAGGGATTCACCACCAAACCACTGTTTCTGCTTTCCCCTTCAATTATGGTCAGAAGAAGTGGTGGTGATAAAGTGGGGAGGAGGAGGAATTAAGGGAAGGGTAGCGGAAGTGGGAGTGACAAGGAAGATGGCATCAAGTCAAAGAGCAAATATCTAGGTTGCGTATGGATTGCAATTTTTTGAAATTTTTATAAAAAATGTACTGATTTAATATATATGAAATAAAAAAATGATTGAGAAATGTTCTTAGAGATTTTTTTGGTAGGAAATCCCTTTCCTTCTGAATGCTATACCCAAATTTCACTATTATAGTTAGACTAAACACTTGCGTGCTCAAGCATGCCATACCCAAATTTCACGCCAGACTAGGAGATAGAAATTCTGCAACAGAGCAGAGCCCTTTTACGTGGGGGCGTCTACCCAACATTTTATCATTTTAAGCACAGCGAGTAATTCAAAGGCATATTATCATATAGAACGGTAAAAACACTCCAATAAACTAGACAACAAACGACATGAAATAGCTGCTTAGGCAAAAGATGGGCAGGGAGAGGTAGGCAGCGTATAAGTGAATTAAATCACATACATATACATCACTAACAGAGAAAATAGCTTATCCTGGCATCTCAATACAGTTTTTGGGCTAGTATGACCAGTTATTTAATTAAATTTGTCCACTACATCATGCCTCATCTCTGAAGACGTTATTTCCTTCAGTACCAGGAAGCAGCTGACAGAAAGGCCAACATACTAACTGCATTATAAAATCAGGGTTAACATTACATGAACAGAAATAAACACAAGGATATACATTAGGAGTTCAACAGAAGAATAATATGATTAAGCAGCAAATGAATGTTTCATTATAACCTTCAGCCTGGGTGAGGTACTTTGCCTGCTGATAGGGTCAAAAAATTTAAGCTCTCATATCTAAATGAAACTGATATGTCAAAACCCAACCCTGATCAGTCTTGCTCAATGCTCCATTTCAAGTACAAAGTCTGAACTTGAAATCACAACATATTCCAGAAGAGAGTTGAAAATTATTGCATTTAAGCTGAGTCTGACTATAATATGTGGGCCACAAGTTACTGTTATGAGTTGTGGCATTTAGGGGGGGGGGGGGGAAGCACAGGAGCCAAATAAAATTTTACATAACCACTCTACAAAGAAAGGTATAACATTTAGTGAAAATGGAAATTACTTTGAAATGGAACAGAGAGGAATGCAAATCACTTAGCTGGAGGGAGTAATATGTTAAAAACAACTTGAAATAAAAATACAAAATGATGTATCAAATGCAAAAAGATTACCCCAACATTAATTTCAAGAAGAATGGGAAGAAATGAAGAAATACAACAACAAAATCGACTTTTGTTCTTAACAAATCACTAAAGAGACAAACAACTAGTGATCAAGAATAAAGAACACAAATAGCTTAAAAATGAACGCCTCCAAGCATCAGCACTTAAACATGAAACTCAGTATGCTTTAAAGAATTGATTGGAACCAAAACATTAAATACACAACAAAATATAGTATCAAAAATCTTTTTGGGCCTACAGTGGAAATGCTTCTCTTCTCATATACTTTTTCTAATCTTGGGACAAAGGGGGCAACTTTGCACCTAATCCCCAAAAAAAAAATTACTAATAATAATAAAATGAGGATAAATCTCAATCAAAACATTTTACATCAAGCTCACATTCTCATAATCATCTTATTCATAGTTAATAGTGAATTATACAACATAACAGATTTAACAAGGAAATAAGTTGAAAAGGCAAAAATAATACCTTATGCAACCCATCAACGAAGATATTAGCTCCTTTTCCGTACAAGCATATACATTGGAAGGTAGGAACCAAGGACAAATCACATCACAAACCACACTAAACTTTTCAGCTCAACATAGATGAAAGCTAATACTTTATATTAATACCCAAAAAATTAAAAGAGAGAGCACACAGTTTCATGTCTTTTTTGACATCTAATAGCGTTATACCCACCAACTCCAGCTACCATAAGGTTATTCATAACCTTTGTACGTGGCAAAGAAAAAAATTCAAATAGCAAAAAACCTAAGCAATAAATAAGTCTAGGTAAGTGAATAGTTGAAACCAGTAGAGCCCTTGCCATCAACAGTGGAATCAGGGGAACTGAGTGCTGCAAGCAAATTGAGACCTGAACAAAACCTTAAAGACGTAAATTCTTAAGTCTTAAACTGAGTTGGATGAAGAAACGCATGAATCCCCTTTCCCCCTTCAATCTTATAATCTGATGCTCTTAAGGCATCTTATAGCCACAATTTGTTTTGACTTGAACCTTCAGAGCCAACTCTAACCTTCTGTAAATTCATTAGCGTAAACCTTCAGCAAGAAGATACGGGTTCGTACCTAAAATCAGATTTTAACTTGAGGCACTGCATGGTTTCTTCAACTAGAATTAAAATTGTATTCTAAAGGAAACCAATCCAATGCTACAGCATTCACGAATATAGTCAAACCTTAACTTCTTCCTGTCGATGGCTTGCTAGTTGCTACTCTAAAAACAGCAGTGCAACCTATACTTTCCAACCTTAGACATGCTTACAGAAAATCTTTTCCGTAAATAAGCACATAGTATTATACAAATAAAGTAGCTGATCACAGACTAAAGAAACTAAAATCAAACCAGAATCAATTATTCAAGCAGACATGAATTCTTGCAAGCCAGAATGTACACATATGAGTACAATCAAGACACTAAATTTTCAAAATCGATGCATTTTTCTTTTCAATACCTTGTTAAGAAGAAGAACGCTTGCCTTCACATTCAGGACTTTCATCGAAATTCTTAGATGGAAAACTTTTGGTGATGTAGCCAACCTCGAAGGTCAAATCCTGACCGTTGGATCTGATTCCACTAATCCCCCACCACCTAAAAAAAGCCCTAACACCAATTCCATCAAGCCCAGCAATACGATTCTCTACAATTTTACCAGTGACTTTTTTAGAGTAGGTAGCCAAGTAGTTGTCCGGAGGCAGCGTGATGCGACACGTGTCGTCTAGCTTCAGCACGAAGTCTCCCGAAGTACGGTTGAGATCGTAAGTTTGGAGGTTGGCAGGGAGTAAGCCTACGGGGAAGCCATACTCGAGTAGCTCCGCGTGTGCTGCGGTTAAAGTGGGGTTTGGAGAGGAAACGGCGACGTTGCGGAGGATGCAGGCGGTAATGGTGAAGATCAAGAGAGGTTTCGCGGCCATGGCTATGGGTGGTGTGTGCCAATTCTCACTCCTGTAAAAAGTTGTTTGCTACCTCTGGCCTGTCAACAGGATGATGAGGAATTAATGAATGAATATTCTAGCCTGGCGGTTAGGTTCTGTTTGGTTTGGGTTAGGAAGAAAAACGATTTTTTTCTTTCTTTTACCAGGGAAGAAAAAAAAGGTCAAATTTGCTATTACCAATCTTTAAAATTGAAAATTGGTCGGGATCAATAGCTAAGAACTGAAACTTGTGAGTATGAAAATCAATTAAAAATCCCTGATTTGATCCGTGCAAATATAGAACTTTTATTTTTCTTTTCCTTTATCTAACGGTCATTGATATATTATTCAATAGTATTTAGCAATTAGAATAAGATACAAAATCCGAGTAAAAAAAAAGTGGATATGATTACAATTCACTGATTATGTGCATATTAATATGTAATATCAATGTGCATCTACATAAATTATAATCCTAGTTATATATAACATGTGTTCAACAAGGAGAAACGTTTGATCGCACTCATATGTTAATTTGATTCAGCAATTAGTCACCGAATAAAAAGCCTATGAAGACCCAAATGTCCATAGTTAGTATTTGGCAATAAATGGGAAAATCTGATGGATGTTAAAGGGTAACAATTAATATCAAATAAAAATCCAATATTGTAGAAATATGTATGAAATCTGATGGTTAATTCAATAAGGTTAGATTGAGATATCTATAATTCATTTGGGATGACAAGCTAAGTTTATTACTCCATATGTTCTCAAACAGCAACCGATCTTCACCTATAAGATGCTATAGGCATATTATTTTGCATGCAATGTTTTTCTTTATCTATTACTCATCTCGTTGCCCACTTCTTTTTGGTCAATTTATAAAAAATTTAAAAAAAATAAAAAGAAATGATAATTATTATTTAGACATAAATATATGTGTTTGCAAATTCTATATTAATGCCATATTAAGTATTGCACTAAGTTTTTTTTTATTTTTCGATGGGCTTATTTGTTTTTTTATAGGTGAGTTTATTTGTCATAAAAAGCGTAATGTTCTTACGAAATTATCAAAGCCAGATATAGGCGAGGAGATATAGTCCATTTTCATTTTTCAAGCCATCTCATAATGTAAAAATTAATGTGTAAAAATAAGTTCATGGGATCAAAAGAAGTCCCTTTATAGAAGTAACAAAGCACTAACAATCATTTGCCAACGTAGTTGATCTAAAGGGCCTTTTTTTCATATCTTTCTACTCAAACAAACGCTGCCTTAGAGAACTCGTCGGTAATTTTGGATGCTGTGCTGCCTCAAGAAGTGCGTCGGCCATGCATTTTTTTCCTGTGATTACGATGTCGTCTAAGGCATATGTGGGCATGGAGTTGTACTGACATGAAAGTGATGGATTTGACTGCAACGTGGTCGTGCTGAAATATCTACAACCCTTACGAATATATATGAAAGGTGGAGTAACGTACAGCGAGACTTCATGATTTACTTACAGCGAGTGATGAACGGTCGAGATAGCTTGACATACAGTGACTAGAAAACGACGGCTCTATTTGAATTGGCCTTTTTTTTAAATAAAATTTTTAAATATAATATTATAATAATATACAATAACACAAAAAACACCTCAATTATATAATATATCAAAATTTTTAAAAATTTTTTTATATACATTGCTACAATAAATTTTTTCCAAAAATATATCAAAAAATAGTTAA